AAAAAAATTCTATACAATAAGCCTTGTGGTGTTTTAGGATCTAAAAACTCATCACTAAGAATCTCTTTAACTTGCTGCGCTATTAAAGCCATAGATCCTTCCTTTTCACCAAATTCTCTTTCCTGTAAATCTTTTATTTTACCATTTAAAATATTATATAAATCCAGAAATTGATACTTGTCATGTAAATTAAGACTACAAATTGTACCAGTTTTGCTAATATATCTATTTATTCTATCGATAGCCTGTTTAACAGTTTTAGCTTTGTATTCACCTCCATCTTTTTTTGTCATTTGCGCAATAAATTCACATATAATCTTCAATAGTTTCAATTGGTGTGACATAATTATAATGATGCGAAATTCATTAAACTTTTTCGTCCAATTTTGGGTAGCCTTTACTGTATTTGGTACTGCAGCTTTTTTTCTGTAAAAATCCAGTTTTTGTTCGATTTCAGATCTTGGCACGCTTGTAATAACACTGTCTTCAGAAGTATTTTCTGGAACATAATTGCATGCACTAGTAAAAACAGGAATTTGTGTGTTTTGAATTTCTTTCTTTTTTTCTAGTTTGGCATCGTTTTGTATGAAAAAAGAATAAAAAGGTAAAAATATCAGTAAAAATCACTAGGCGTTAGGATCCAGGGGATAAAACAGATATTTAATAGATTGCTGTGAATATCATGCAAAATCACAGACAATTATTTATTATATGTCATCGCAGCTGCGCCGTGATGATGCATAATAAATAATTGCCCGTGATTTTGCATGATATTCACAGCAATCTATTAAATATCTATTATTTATTCTACTTGTACTAAATTAATTTATAAATATAAAATATATTAAATATAAATATTTATATAGCATTAATTATAAAATTATTTATTAGTAGATATAAAATTTTTATAAATTTAAATAAGGATTGTTATTTTTACCATGAGTTATACAAAAAGATACAAAAATTCTATTTTTAATAACCAATTAAATTTAATTTTAAAATTAAAAAAAAAAATTTATTAAGTTAAGGTTTGTTAAACTTCTAAGTAAAGTTGTAGAGAAGACTTTTCTGGTTTTAATGGTGGTTAGATCATCAAAATCGGCCTGGTGGATCTCAAGATATTTGGGTTAAAGGCGCGAACATAAAGATCTACAAATTGGTGGTTATACAAAGTACTAAAGACTATAATACTTCGTGTAACCATCAACTTGCAGATATTCGTGTCTTTAACCCCAAATATCTTGAGATCAACCAAGCCAATTTTAATAGCATTTACTAATTTCCCCCCAGTTTTTATTGGTCGTTGATAAATAAAATTTCCTATTGGATAATCCTTAATAACATGATATCGACCAATAATATGCATGCTGCAAATAAAAAAAATCTAAGTTTTTTTGCCATTTTTTTGAATAATCTTTATTACAAAGTATATACATATATAATTTCTGGTTACTGTCTAGACATTTATGACATTTATATAAGTGAAATCCGAAAATAGACGTTTAGCAAAAAATATATATTGAAATCAAAAAAACTGGAAAGTTTGCTATAATAAAAATTTTACTCTTTCTATAGCAAATTAGTGTTATGGCAAAAAAAAACTTATTTTAGAAAATTGCTGATTTGTTATATCCAAAGTTCATTATATTCATTAATTAAGATTCGGCTATCAGTATAACCTCCACAAGTGTATATTCTTGGGACCGAACTTTAACAACATGCACTTAAAGAACAATAAGAAAAAAGTGCATTTATAGGGTCATACATATTTGGGTCCGAATTTGAATATGCATTTAGAGTGGATATGTACTTCTAGAGGGTGCACTTATAGAGGCTTTACTGTATATAGCAAAAATATATAACATGATAACAAATAAGTTTGTATCAGTTAAAAGTCGAATTCTTAATTTTGACTAGCTATTTCTTTATACGTATAATAAACACAATAAGAATATTACTGATTATTGTTAGTACGAAACGATCCTGATAACGATTTAATTTACAAAGGAAAATATAATACTGTTTATACGTTAATTAATTTGTTTAGAGAATGCGATACTAACCTATAATTTTTATTAAAGAACCATGTTTTACATATAATAAAGTATTACATTTTTCCAATAGGCTAACACAATAACTCTACGTATTAATTTACAACCATTCAATAGTCTTTTACTTTAAGTTCATAGACTATTGGCAATGTCAAGTTTGTAGTTTGGTTGATTAGCATAGTTTTCCATTTGTGAAAAATATAGTATAATCGGATAGCTGTCGTGATATAATATCGGGTAAGTTGTTTGGAACAAGAAGTTCTTTGTTCCAGTGGCATATTTTCTAAAATTTCACCTAAATAATAGGCATATCATAACTAGGCTTTTCTATTTTTTATTCTTTTAGATTGGAGAAGAAACTGATAAGTGACCATGATTTGAGTTTGGTAATCTTGTAACAGGTCATGTGGAGCAGCGATATATTAAAAAATAATATTGCTCTTTTGTTTCTTTCTGCAAAAATTATTAATACTCCAAATACGCGAAAGTAAAACAAAATCATTACTAATTTTACTCATTTATGGCTAATTTGTATGAGACTGTTATAGCTGAATTGTTAGGTCGCAACAATTGTAATCTACTTGGTGATGACAGTACTAGGGAAGCGAGGCAAGGTATTTAAAGTTTTTTGAACTATCTAATTTTTGTAATGAATTATTCATTTTGTTAATATGCGCAGTAGTTTGCCGTATAACTTGTATACGCGTTGAAAATATACATGCGTGCCAAATTGCCTTTTTTAATAATTACTAACAGCAATTGCATATCTAAATTGGTTTTTTTTATAATTTCAACATTAATTCTCATAGTTGCTACAAAGTTACTGAATTCAATTACATTGTTATTTCGTATGAGATTTATTTTTAAAATTGATTTAAGTACACATCTATAATTGGTAAGATTATAAAACAAATTTAGCTATTTGGGGTTAGTTGATAGCTTCTAGGATTTATTTTCTCTGCACCTAATAATTAAATGCGATTTTTTATTCAGAGGCTATGTATTAATTTTACGTGTTGATTATGTCTTTCCTATTGTGTGATGTAATATTTACTAAATTATATTTCTAATTTAAGCAAATTACATTTTAACTAGATATTTATTCGATTAAAATCAAATCTTTGCCGGCCAAGTTTCCAAGGAAATATTTTTTTCTATTCAGTTATCAGGTCGGATACTCCTTCAAAAATTTTAGTCACTATACCGGTCTTTGTCAGTAAAAAAAACCTGAGTTATATCAAGTTCATCTTATATGCATCTCAGCTATACTTGCGATCATTCTAAAGGCATTGGCGTTCTCTTGATGAATAAATTGGTTTATACCCAAAAATAGATAATCATCAGGAAAAAAAATTCAGAATCAAAATTATATGCACATTGCGCACATAATTTTAAATTTATTGTTAGTATGCTATGTTACATATTAAATATAATATATATGCAGAGCGCACATGCGCACATCAATTTTTTTTCACTGATAATCATAGAATGATTTTATTAACGATTTATTTGTAAGATGAATACAAATATGTACTAATTATCTTTATTGAAGTAATGTTAGCAGTGAGGAACCTTAATGTTTTATTTTTTATAATTTAATTTGCTAATAACAAACATTTAACGTTTTATTTATATATTATAACAAATTAAGGGTAGAGTGTATGTCAATCATTTATCATATGATCTCAGTGGTACAACAGGATTTTATGCATAAATTAAAATACGTCACTAGTAAAAGTTCTC